CGATATATATATATATATATATATATATATATATATATATATATATATATTCCTGTTATGAGAAATTGTCTTGGCTATGTATTGGTGTGAAAATATAGAGTCAAAGAAGGTATACACGCATTTTTATCTGTGACTAGGAAGTAGTGGTGGCAAAATGGTTAAAAGAAAAAAAGTTAATCATTCATATTATCCACTAAAAAATGGGCTGGATAATGAATTTTTTAAAAACGTGTCAAATATGGATGAGAACCATATTATCTATTTAGAAAATGGATAATCAATGAGTTTAACTTTTGCATTTGTAAAGCTTCAAATTGAGGGTTCCTCAAGTTTGGGAGACTAGGAATTTTCCCAAAAGTGATACATATTCAAGAAGTCATGCCGATTAACACGTTTTTTATTTGTATTAAATATGGATTGGATCAGATAATTTATCCGTTTTTCATTACCTGTTTTGACCCGAATCATATCCGACCCGACCCGATATTTGCCACTCCTCCTAGGAAGGGTATGAAATTGAAATTTTGACCCACATTTCACAAAGGGTATAATTGGCATAAAAGTGGAAATATTCTGGAAAAATGACCACGGTCCTTTTACACGGAAAGAGGAATAAGGCAGATGATCAGTGAGGGACCACCGAGTCCGATGAGATCCTAGAGGTTAACCCAAGAAACAACATAGGGAAAGCAAAAATACTAGAGTCCGGAACCAATTGTGGTTTTTTGGACTCAAAATACATAAATAGGTGGGGAAAAAAAGGTAACATTTTTATGTATAACACCACAATACTTGACGCCATACAGTAACGTTAATTGTGCCGTTACTGTATAGCGCCAAGTATTGTGACGCTATACTAAAAAAGATGACACGCCCAGATATAACGCCACAATACCTAGCACTATACATAAATTTTATAATTCGAACCGTCTTCTTCATCTCCTCTGGTTCTCCTCTTCCTCAATTTTTTACTCCTTTGGTCCCCCCATATCCACTGCCCCCAATTTTTTTTAGGTCCCCCCGTTACATAATAGTTGAAAAACGTAGGTCCCACATTCGAGTAGAGCTTCGTATTATTGTTGATTCACACTTTCGGAGTCAAAATTTCAATCTATTTGCTTTCCGAAAATTCTAAATCGAGGTATTTCGGTTTATTTTAAGTTGAAACTTTGATAATAATGCATATTATTTGATTTGTATGTGTTCTATTTCGGTTTGTATTTTTTTTCGAAACTAGCATGTTAAATTTATCCGGATTTAATATTAGTGTTTTATAAAAAAATATACATTTGTCAAATAAATTTGTGTGTTAATATCCTGATTTATATATATGTGTTTTCATGCCTTTTTATGTTTTATGTGCAATTAAATTTATTTGTTGTTTATGTTTAGTTTAGATTATTTTTAGCGTAGTAAAATCTAGACCTTTTTAGCGTAGTAAAA